CATGGAACTGTCTATGTAGATTCTCAGTCATCCAGGTCATGGTTGTCCTAAAGGTGGTTTTTCAAGAGGCAACTGGACTTTCTGGTTTTTCTTTGAGGATGTTTCCCTTCTTATCCAGAAGGGATCAGCTCTCTGAAGAAGCTTCTTGGATGAGAAGCGAAACGTCCTCAAAGAAAAACCAGAAGGTCCAGTTGTCTCTTGAAAAAACCACCTTTGGGATATGCATGGATCTGTATGAACCAGAGGGGAGGGGAAAGGGACCCTTCCCTTTCCCCTCTCCTCTCTCCTGTCTTCCTTTGCAAGAGAATCTTAGTGTATTCTGAGGGCTCGGCAAGGTACCTCTACATCTTCTGCTTGAAATGTGAAAATATCAGGATCTCTCAAAAGCCTTGTGTGGTCAGTTGTACATCTCTACCTCACTTGGTTCTGTAGAATCAGTATCCTGGTGACCGCATCAGGTATGCCTTCATAGACTTCATAGTCTTTGAAGATTTCACAGGTATGCCTGGAGAGTCTCTAAAAAGTGCACTCAAGTCTTGGAGAGTTGCAGCACTTCAGTGCTTTAGGCAAAATGCTTGAGAGGTGTTTAATGAGTTTTGCACGTGGCTTTGCATAATACTTTATAATGCTGCCACTTAGTATTGTGACATTATTCCATATATGGAATATTTAACTGCAGGCAAAACAGTAAGCATTGTCTGGACAACATTTGAGAGTAGTATTGAAACCATTTGCCCTCGTTGCTTTCAGGACTCCCCATCCCCCATCCCTCATCCCTCAATTTTTCCAGGTAGTCTACTGTTCTGATTTTCTTGTAAGTCTTCTAGAAATTAGCAATTTTATATATCTGTAGCAAATGTTATGTTTTAATTCATTGTGTTATTTATTAAAAATATTTTTGCTGTTTAAGTCTTTTTGAAACAGGAATGTTCTGGAACAGGGGCATCAAACTCAAGGTCCACGGGCCGGATCCGGCCCACAGGTTGCTTAGATCTGGCCTGCAAGGCTGCCCTAGAAACAGCCAAGGACCGGCCCACAGTGCCTCTGCCAGTGAAAATGAAGCTCGGGAGGGCTGCACAGGGAGCCCCCAAGCTCTGTTTTTGGCTGCGACAGACTCCTGTAACCCTCTGCCAGTGAAAATGGAGCTCGGAATGGCTGCACAGGGGGGCCCCGAGCTCCGTTTTTGGCTGCGACAGCATCCTCCCCATGCCCTCCCATTTATACCCAACCCAAGGTCAAACACAACCCTGATGCAGCTCTCAATGAAATCGAGTTTGATACCCTGTTCTGGAGCTTTTTTTAAATCTTTAGTTCTTGGATAAATTATTAATAATAGTAAACTGAATTGGACTCAATGTTGATTCCTGGTGACAACCTGAACTAGTCTGCAGTTTTCTTGGTAAGATTTATGGAAGTGGTTTGCCATTGCCTCCTTCCTCAGGCTAAGAGTGAGGGACTGGCCCAAGGCCACTCAGCTAGCTTCATGCCTAAGGCAGGACTATAACTCATAATCTATTGGTCTGGTGCCTTCACCACTACAGCAAACTGGCTTTCCTTGAACGAAGTAGAAGCATAGTAAATCAATTCATAACAGAAATAATCTAAGGTAATATAGTTTTCTGCATTAAACCACTCTTATTGATATTGTTGTGGGAAATGACAGAGGTGTAATCTTTTTGCTATGTCTGAAGTTGACCTGAATAAGTGGAATCTAAATGTTTTATTAAGAGAGACAACACTGATGATTGTTCCTTTTTATTGTTGACCCAGTGGCCCCTATTCAATAATTGTCAAATAGCTTTTGAAGATGAATACAATGCCAGATTTTGATGTGTAATTTTAAAAATGGCATTTTCAAATTCAGACCATCTGGAAGAAACACACTGCTGCTATTTTGGAAATACTTCTGCTAAACTGCAGTACAACATTCAGGAAAGTAATAAATAAGTGTTACTAGTGTGAATGGAATGCTATTTCCTGTTTTGGATCTATAATTAAACCTTTTTCTTCCTGGAAAAATATGGCAGTGGCCATAGCTTGAATGAACTTAGCATCTATTTTAAATGTTTTAAAAATAAAAGTTATTAGATAACTGGCCTATACATCCCTTTCCACCCTTCCTAAATTTAAGACAATCCCCCACCAAAAAGATTTTTGGGGGAAAAAATAAAGACAAAAATCCTCTCTACCACTGATCTTCCTTACCTTGGCAAACCTAGTGTTCATTACAGTTGAAACCAATCCTGAAATCTTCCTCCACTCCCAAAATATGTATACCCGTGAAATCTTTGCATAAACTTGCGTATGTATGTGTGAGTCTGTATACCTGCCAGGCACTCCATCAAAAGGTAAAGGCGTGATAATTAGAAAGTATTCATTGAATTTAAAAATAGTTAATTTTCATTGACAATAAAATTTACTTCATTTATAAAATTAAATACTTTACATCAGGGCTCGCACCCTGCGGACTGGATGCATCACGTGCTGGTCACACCCATGTCCGGTTTAGTGAAGGGGAAAAAAGTCCTGATACGTCACGTGATGTCACCATGACGATGTGAGTTTGACAGCCCTGCTTTACATCTACATATATTAATGATACTCATTGACACAGGAACCTGTCACACGTAAAAATGTGTGAAAATGAACAATAAAAATAAATATGGCTCAAAAAGTTGAGATAGGTTGTAGTTTCTCTCACATGTGCCCATTGTGAACAATGGGCTTCCTGCTTGTAATATATGAGTATTAACTGCAAACACATAGTGATATGCTTTACATTCCTTGTAGGTGGCTTCATATTACTGGTACTTCTTTGAATAGACTGTTTTGGGGATAACCATATTGAACTGGAGACGCTTTGTGTAATTCCACAAAAGAGATGCGGCAGGTAGTCCTACCATCATCAGATCTATCTGGAGGAAGTGAAGGACCTGGTTTAGAGGCCTGTGATCATTCTCTAGATCCATTTGCTGAGAAGAAAAATCAAATTTAACTCCAGTTTTGTTGAACTTCCATTAGCAAAGAGAGGCATTTTTGTTTAGATGGAGGTGCGGCTTTTAGGCAATGGACAAAACCAGTGGAAAAGGAGCTTTTGCTGTCATCTTGGAAAGTTGGGGGGGGGGTATCTGCAGCCCTGAGGCTACTCATAATTCAGAAGACCTGTTTGAAATTAGGAGGGTGGGAGTTTAGGCCTAGAACTTGATGCAGAAGATGATAGCTGAATTCTCATTGCCTGCCAGTCCTTTAAAGCATCCCTGAGCCACAGACAGGTACCAGTCTGTGGCTTGTTAGGAAGTGGGGTGCACAGCTGGAGGTGAGCAGTGGGCAAGTGAACAAAACGAAAACCACCACACACACACACACACGGTCCATGGAAAAATGGTCTTCCATGAAACCAGCCCCTGGTGCCAACAATTTTGGGGACCGTTGCTTTAATAACAGTATTGTCCGACCTTTTGGCTTGCCTGGGCTGCATTGAGTGAAGAGAATTGTCTTGAGTTGCATATACAATATATGATTAATGTGTGTGTGTGTGTGTGTATAAATAATGTTTAAAGTTTATGATCTTGTGGGGCCACCGCATTACTAGCTGTCCAAGGTTGCATCTGGCCCATGGGCTGCAGGTTTGACACACCTGCTTTAAAGTGTCAGCTCTGTAAAAGGCTGTTTTCTGTAAGATTCAACTTAGGTTTCACTGGCTTCCAGTTCTACAACCTCTCTCTTGCCACGGGTTTTGGAGAAATTTATTACGTGAGAAACCACTTTTTAAGGGCACAAACTGCTTGTTTCTTGTGCAACCACAATGTCTGGTTTTAAAGTTGCAGGATTGAATGTGGGAGCAAGTAGGATCACTCTTCATAGGACAGTTTAAAAAAAAAATGCAGGCCTTTGTCTCATCCTGGGACTTTTCTTACATTAGATCTGAGAACAAGGGTGGAGAGTGGGTGGGCGGGCGTTCATCAAATTCTGAGTGGGCCTGGGGAGATGCCTTTTCATTGTAAAATGCCTTTTCGAAAGACTTGGATCTGTCTGTGTGCTCTTTGTCACATACAGATCAGGCTTATTTAAAACAAAGGCCTATTGACCTTCCTAACCCCTTCTAGGCCTGTGGCAGCTTTCAGGATTCATTGTTTGCTTTTAAGTGGGTAGGTGACACTTCTCGCCTCTTTGGACTTTCAGTTATCTTCATTCATCTTATCAACAAATAAGAGAGGCTTCCTTTTTTTTTTCACCCCTATATCCCGCCCCAAATCGCTTTGCCTTTCTCTGTGGGCTGCTAGTTTCAATCTCCAATTAGATTTTAAAAGTTAAAAAATACATGTTATGGACATTTGAAGGCTGTTTTCAGCATTCTGTATCTTTTTGCTTATTGGGATGCTGTTGTCTTTGTTTTTTTTAATAGCATTTACAGGAGGGTTTATTCATTGATGTATAATATCAAAGTTTTTCTTTTTTTTCCCTGTTACATACATACTATTATTAGAAGTATTGTTCAGTTTCCTTTTGGGAAGAATAACATTGTGCAAAGCACAGAATAAGGAGTAGTAAACAAAAGAAATTAGAGGTACCAGATTAGAGAAGAAAAAAATCCTTCTAAATATATGAATTTAAACAGCACTTTAGAAATGCTCTGTAACCTCAGTCCATTTTCTTCTAGGTGAAATCAATAATTGTGCTATTCTGTTCATTTCTCAGTGATTGTTCACTTCTCTATTTCAGCTGAACCAATGCTTATGTAGCTTGCTACTATGAGAACTTTAGCTAATATCTAATGAAGTCATTTTTTTGTTTTATTTTTTTGGACGTTTCCCAGTCTTCCTGAAATTTTGTTAGAAACTTAGCCTCATTCAAAATTTGTATCCAATCTACTGTTTTCTCAGTAACTTTAATGACACGCTACGTAACTTATCCATCTCACTTAATGGTTAGTTGTTCCCCATGTTGTTTTCACACATACAGGCTTGTTTATTTTCACTGCTGTGTTTCCTTTCCTTCAGCAAAGTGAGCTGAACTCCTTCCTGTGGACTATAAAGAGAGACCCGCCATCTTACTTTTTTGGTACCATTCACGTCCCTTATACTCGAGTCTGGGATTTTATCCCTGAGAATTCTAAGAAAGCCTTCCAGGACAGTCATATTGTCTACTTCGAGCTGGACCTCACTGATCCCTACACAATCTCTGCTTTGACCAGTTGCCAGCTCCTACCACAGGGCAAGAACCTTCAGGATGTGCTCCCCAGGGACCTCTACCGCCGACTCAAACGCCATTTGGAGTATGTCAAGTTGATGATACCTTCCTGGATGACTCCAGATCAACGAGGCAAAGGCCTATATGCAGACTACCTCTTCAATGCTATTGCAGGCAACTGGGAGAGGAAAAGGCCTGTTTGGGTCATGCTAATGGTGAATTCTCTGACTGAGGTGGACATCAAGTCACGGGGTGTACCTGTTTTGGATCTCTATCTGGCTCAGGAAGCAGAACGCCTCAAGAAGCAGACAGGTGCAGTTGAAAAAGTAGAGGAACAATGCCATCCATTGAACGGTCTCAATTTTTCTCAGGTAAGGATGTTCAGACTGTTTTTTGATAGACATATGAAATACTTAATCTGTGCTCTCATAATTCTTAGCTGGTAACCTTTTCTTAAAGGAACCTGAAGAAGCTAGAACATTAGGTCAGCTTTTTATCATTGAATACCTTCGTCTAATATTATAAAAGAAGGAAGCAGATCAATAGAATAAATGTTATAAAAGTAGAACAGAAAGTTCAGTCCATATGACCGTGCTTTTATTAAAATCCCAGCAAAATAAACATATCTCCTGTTTGAATAGTAATATATTTGTTCTAGGAATACAGTGTTGTATTTTTTTATTTTTTTATTTAAAAACACTTTTTACACACGTATTTATAGTTACTTTTTCTGTTCAGGCTTGAACTGTTTCACATTTCTCCTGCTGTGACTCTGCAAACGTGTACAGATCTGTCAAGTATTTGTTCTAAGCCAAATGTGTAAATTGAGATCCCTAACACCTTTCTGTTTAACGAACTAGAGTTGCAAGCAAGTTTTTTTTTCCTTTTTAATGCATGATTTGGGTTTCTTAAGAGAACCTTGTTTTACAGCTTTTCATTAACGCCAGGATGATTAATGCAATATATCGACTGCAAGTCCTTCATCACAGGCCATTTGGGCTAGAAGTGATGAGTATTGGAATTCAATAGCATCTTGGTTAGGAAAAAAACCTAAAAATAAAAAATATTTCTCTTGGTTAGCCAGCCAAGAAGAGAAATTGGAAGGCTGGTGAAGCATATATGAGCATACTTGATATGTAATCACAGCCAATTAGCATGACTTGACAAATGTATTGTTATTTGATTATTATAGTCACTCTGAGGGCTGTGCAGCACTTTAAATGGTAAAATATAGCACCTGTCTGCAATCCTTTAGAGCGGGCCCATATCTTCTCCCAAATTTGCACAGTTTCTAACCATGGCTGCAGTGCAATTCCAGCTAAAAATAGATTTGGGTTAGAGAGTTGCAGACAAGTGCTGTGTATGCACTTCTATGTTCACCAAACCACCTTTTTGCTTTCAAATCCAAATTGCTGCCCTATTGTTGGTACTGGGTGCCTTACCACTAGGGACTTAATGGGGATGTTTGAAAAGATACATGTAATTCCAACAAACATTTAAGAAAGGATTCAGGTTATGGAAAATGTCTTAGAATGCAACATATTGGAATGGATATCTTCACTTCTCATTTAGCCCCGTTAAACAAGTACAGCTTGTAATGCTGTTGCACGAAAGACCTGGGGAAATGTTAACATTGTATATCTGGTAAATGATGCCTGAAATCGTTGCCATTCCTTCTATGGAAGCAGCATGTTTGGAGTAAGTTGAAATGTTTAATGTAGGCCCATCCTCTGTTGCTTTGAAATTAAGTACACTAAAAGTGCCTTACCATGATAACAAAATGGCATACAGTAGAGCCTGGAAACAGCCACTGATGATATGATTATCAAAGAATCCCAGGCTTTCACATAAATACTTTTGTCTCTAGTGGTTTTGAAAAAGCCTTTCAAATTGCCTAAAATGTTAGACACGCTCTTCCTGTCCTTGTTCTGCTAAGTTCTGCAAGAGGTTGATACAGCCTGAAAATCTGCATTCATGGACATCTGGATAGTTCTAGGTCATAAGTGAAGGCTCTTGATATTATCAGACGCAGTTTGTAATAAACCAAAAAGAGAAAAAATGTGTAATTTTGAAGATTCTTTTTTTAAAAAAGGAAATGTGTGTGATCCCCATCCCCTTTTCCCTAAAAGAGCTATCTTGACCTTTATATTGCTTCCTGGATAAGCATTTGTCTTTTGCTCTAGTTCAATGTTTTTCAAACTTGGGAACTTTAAGTTGTGTGGGCTTCAAATCTAGTTTGAGCAGCAGTCCTTCCTTGCGTTTCAAAAGCTGAGAAAAAGAGGATTAGAGTTTCTTAGATTGTCTTCATATATATGCTTTTCAAAGGAACTTTAAGCCCAAGCCTATAATAGTTTTACATTATAGTGAAAATTCATCCAGGATAAGAAAACATTGACAATGGTATTTAGGACCTAGGGTATTCTCTATGAAATTTAATCTAGTATTCCATATATAACATGCTCCAGTTCCCATGGGTGAAGTAAGGGAAGACCTTAGGCCTGAAATCTGAAGATATTCCATGGAAATTTGCTAATGGGTTATTGAAGAGCATATAATTTCATTTTGTTGTAAAGAACAGTTTTGTTAATAATCAAAGTCTGGTGAGTCTATGGCCGTGATGGCAAACCTATGGCACGATTTTCAGAGGTGGCACACAGAGCTGTCTCTGTGGGCTTGCGCACTGGCCTGCTGGTCTTCGGGTTTCCAGCGCTCCGGTGCACGCGCATTTCAGTTTGGGCACTCGGTGCTGAAAAGGTCCGCCATCACTGGTCTATGGTATCAAATTCATCACCTTTTGGATGGGTGGAAGGCACACTTCCATTTTCATAATACAGGTAGTCCTTGACTTATGACTACAGTTCAGCCCAAAATTTCTATTGCTACGTGAGACATTTGTTAAGTGAGTTTTGCCCCATTTTATGACCTTTCTTGCCACAATTGTTGTGAAACTCAGTTTATCATTTTTTTTATTCAGTTATAAAATATTATAAGATACAAAATACAAAAGTAAATAGGAAAACAGTGGAGAGGAAGAGGGGAAAGAGAAGTGTGGAAGGTTAAGAAGAAAAAGAAGCATTGACTTCTGACTCTGTTGCAGTAAAATAAGGCATTAACAACTTTTTGCTTTTTTATAATAACATGAACAAGTCATTTCTATAAAGATCTATCAATCTACTCGGTAAAATCTACCCTATTTGCCACAGTTGTTCAATGAATCACTGCAGCTGTTAAGTGAGTAACATGGTTGTTAAGTGAATCTGGCTTCCTCGTTGACTTTGCTTGTCAGAAGGTCGCAAAAGATGGTCACATAACCCAAGGACACTGTAACCATCATAAACATGAGCCAGTTGCCAAGTGTTCGAAATTTGATCACGTGACTATGGGGATGCTGCAATGGTCGTAAGTGTGAAAAACGGTTTTAAGTCACTTTTTTCAATGTTGTTGTAACTTTGAATGGTCACTAAACAAATGGTTGTAAAGACTACCTGTAGTGTTATCATCTTGGTACTATACATAGTTTGCAATGCTGCTTTTAAATGAAGATATTCCCACAAGATAACGGCATTTACTTAATTATAGATCTGAATAGATATGAAAGTATTGAGCTCTTATGTCAGACAGGGTTGGTCTGTCTTTGGCAGTGTTTCTCAACCTTGGCAACCTTAAGATGTGTGGACTTCATTTCCAGAATTCCCCAGTCACCATGGTTTCTGGTTTCCATTACAATTATCTTTTGACGGTTTTATCTGCTGAAGATCTATTGTACTTCTGGAGGATCACAATGTATTCCAAGATGCTTTTCCACTTAATGTGGCCTACCAGTCCAGTCCAGTTATTTCAACTTACCATTGCTTCAAATTACCTAACAGGGCTTCAGGGAACATACATTTTCTGAGCATTCAGAAAGCATACTTGTTGCCTGCATTTCAAAGCACAACTGAAGATTACATAACTAATTTTTACAACTCACATTAAAGGAAAACTATTTTCTCCCCAGAAGGGGAAAATCATCTTAGATTTACTGAGAAAATACTGAGAAAATCATCTTAGATTTACTGAGAAGGTAGATAGTGCCACCTTTCTAATGGATCTTTCCAGACGGTGAATCTACGTTCTTTGAACACCAGAGGGCACATTGAAAATAGCGTGTACAAGCTCTTGAAAGCACCCATTCTCCACACCTTTACCATTGTTATTCATAGGAAGTATATTCAGTCTGTTGCTACCTTTTAACATGGGAAATTATGGGTGCAACAATCTTAATCAGGCAAAGCAAATAACACATCCAAGGCTTATTGTTGTCACGTATAACAAGATACCTGGTTTCAGCATTCTAATTTCATGAGAACGATGGTCTCTTATTATCCAACACATGTATTTTCAGAATGAGTATGACAGATAAAATTACAGCATTTCGTGAAGGTTTCATAAAACAAATTACAGACGTGATTTGGTTTGATTTAAATTTGCACTCGCTTTCTGCCATTTCATTGTGGAATCAAATTTCTTGCCTCACAAATGTGTCTAAACAATAACCAAATTCATATCAGATCTAATTTTTATCTTCACAAGAAATTTGAGTAAACTCTGATCACAATATGTTTTAATAGCTTCTTGCCCCCACCCCATGTTCGTTTTATATTATTAGAAATCATGACAGAAGATGACACTGAGCTTTATAGGATTAATGTTCCGAGCCCTGTTTCTGACACAATTTTTAATTTTTTCCTTTTTATTAAATATTTGAAATAACCCCAATAGAATAAATAGCTAAAAAAAGAAAAAAAAGATGAAAGGTTGTAGATAAAAGAATAAAATATCAATAAATATGAATCTTGAATCATGAAATCATGAATCATGAAATATGTTCATTGAAATTATGAATCATGAAATATGTTCATTGAAATTATGAATCATGAAAGGTGAAGTTCATTATTTCATTAATTCTTTAATTGTGCAGAACTAGGTTTATTATATCATTTAAAAAAACAATATAAGAAATTAATATCACTATCATATTTTCATAATGTCCTTTGACCATGCCTTTTTATAACAGATTAATTTTGTAGAAATGATGTAGAAAAAACATCATTCATATCTGGTTTCTACTTTCCTGGCTATCAATTTCTCTACAACTGTTTGCAGTAATTTTTTAATAAATAAATAATAGGTTTGCATTGGCTAATTCCTTACCATTTTTTAAAAAATCCCTTTTTATGACCCTGTAATCTCTTAATTCAGGATAGAGTCATCGGGGTGATTTGTTTGGATGCAACTGAGCATTTACTGGTCGGATACCCTTCCTGATGCCATGTGGAATTCACAGCAGATATTTTTTCTTTATGCCTAGGAGATAAACATCTGCCACTAC